TAAAGTAATTATTTTAAAGATTCACATTAAAACAAGCAACTATAATTAGTTATTTCATTATTTTAAGAAACTTTCATTAGAAGAAGATTGATTAATTACCAAAACGTTAATTTTAAGGAAGAAAACGTGTAGAATCCGCGTACACTCGCCTGCACCCACACGGCTCCTCTCTCTCTCTCGAGTCCGAAAACGAAGAAAAGTGACTTCAAATTCTGCAAATGATTTTGAGTAGAGCCGTGCCCTCTGCCCTGGCCTCCTTCCCTCGTTCAATGGTTGACACCTTCTCCATCTTCTTTTTGAATCAATTATCAATATTTTTTTCTTGTTTATATGCATCTATATAGTGTATGTATGTATTATTTGGAAATTGATGAATATGATCAGGGTCTTCCATCAACCTCTTCTACATATTGATTTTGTTAGTTAAAAAATTCGTCTTTTCATTAGTTTTGCTGAGGCGTTAATTTTATGGGTCCTTCTTTAGATACTTACAAGGTGTTTTTTTTTGTCGTGTAATTCATTTTCTAAGGATTTTCAGATGGATTCTTTTTGTTAGTGTCGAATTATTGGTTTTGGTGAAACGGGCCTTTTAATCTTGCGTTTGATTAAACTTTCATTTCATGTAACTTTTTATACTATTTTGATTTTTTTTTTTAATACTTATAATCGATGAATATGATCAGGGTCTTCCATAATTTCTATTTAGTAATGTTGTTAGTTGGAAAATTCACGTTAATTAGTTCTCTCGAGGCGTCAATTTAACTTTCTCCTTATCACCTGTTATATAAGGGCCCTTTCCCTTAAAATGTTGCCATGGTGTACTTTTCTCAATGAACGTACAGTCAAGTGATTTTCTGATACATTCTGTTTGTTAGCTTTCTATTTTATTATTGGGTTTAGAAAAATGGGTTTTCATTTGCATATGAATTACCTTTCATTTGATGCAACTTATTATAATATTTGGGTTTCTTCTTTCGTTATGATATATTCTGCTCGTTTTGTTTTCCTTTTACCACAAATTATGTTTGGTATCATTATACATGAAATGGATTTCGTGTATTCTGAATTTTGTGTTTTGATTTTAATAGTGCTTATCAGCGCCCCTTGTTTAATTTCATTACTTTATATTTTGATGATGCCCATATTCTTTGGGCCTTTAATGTACGGAGAGAAAGATTTAGCTGTTTAAACTTTTGGTTTATATCTAACTGAATACTATGTTAAATGCCATCATTTACTTAAAAGTGTGTGTGAATTCTGAATAAAAACATTTGACAATTGTATTACGAGTGCATAAGTGCCTCTTTGCATTGTAAACGTGCCCGAGAGCACATTATTCTAGTTTTGAAATCTGTATCCATAAAATGTTTACGATTGCGGTTGTGAAAGAATTACACTAGTTAGATACTGTTTCTGTATAAAGGATCTTTTTGCCTTTTCCTTAAAAATTAGTTTGTGGTGCTCTTAATTACATATAATTATGTTTTACTATATTATTGTTACAGAAAGGGTCGGAGCTGCGCGTATGGCCAGGGATGAGACAGCTTTCTTTAAGAAAGACTCTTGTGTATGGATTTGTGAGGCTCTTATCAATGCCATTCAAGACCCTGCGGGGAGTTAGCCAAACAATCGGAGGAGTTTCTAATTTTTGCAGCATCACCAATATGTCATCCACTTTGCAAATTGAGCTGGTGAGCAGACGTTTTGCTGACAGACTAATTACAGAACTGAAATAATAAGAGTCTTTTTTTTTTGGGGGGTGGGGTGGGGTTTAAAAAGTAAATATTGTGGAAATTGGAATTAAAACATTCAATTTCACTATTTTCTTATTTTATTTTTCAGCAACGGCTTTAGAGTTTATTTAGATTACATGTTTGAATATCATACATTAGTGAATTTCCAAGGCTGAGGAGTTCTGAGTTCTGAAACACTAGAGATGAATTTCACTTACATCTGATGTAGTTCTTAATAAATGTCAACCTGCCTGTTTGGAACTGCATATTATTATTTGGTTACTTGGAAATTGTTCTCATCCTATATCCTTTACCCCTTTGTACCATCAATAATTTCTTATCAAGAAATGTATATATAAAGAACTTACGAAATAGCTAAACCATTATAGATTTATATAATGAGAAATAGATGCGGAAAGTGCTGTCATCATGGAATAATAGCATGCATTATATGCATTATAGGGTTGAAACTATGACAGTTCTCTGTAACCCGTACTATATACACAGTTAAATATCATGTCCTCTTTTGCATCCTGTTGTCATTTGCATTATGTAATGCATGAACTACATACTTAAAGAGCTTGCATGAAATATCCTTATTCAGTTCCATTTTTCTTTATTGTAGGTGCCCTGTCTTAAGGATAACTATGCATATCTGTTACATGATGTGGATACTGGGACAGTTGGAGTGGTTGATCCTTCTGAAGCAGTACCTGTTATAGATGCATTGAATAGGAAAAATTGGAATTTGACTTACATCCTGAACACTCATCACCATTTTGATCACACTGGTGGAAATATGGAGTTAAAGGAAAGGTATGGCGCAAAGGTATGTAACCTTCTGTATGAGCTGAAACATAGACACGTCTACGTGTGTATGCATGTTATTTTGAAACCTATGTTTTTGCTACTCTATAACCTAATTACCATTCAAGGGAAATCCTTAAAGTAGTAGTTCATTCCTATTAGATTGCTGATTTATGAGCTGTGTTCCATCGTCTAATCTGGTTGTGTCAGAATGTTTAACAATTGGCCCCACAATCAAGCTGCCAGACTTAAGTCGTGGTGCGTAAGCATTTATGAAATTCTTGTAATAAGAATTATGTAGTAATTAAGAGCAATATTGAAATAACTTGATTGAATGTTATTGAATAATAATTGATGTTGAAAATGTGTATGATGTCTCTATAGGTGAAATTATTCTATAATCTTATTAATACTAGGAAACCAAAATAAGAAAACTAAATTCTAAAAGAGATTAAACTAATCCTAATCTAAACAAGACTTGAGAAGAAAACCTATTACAAGTAGAAAAGAAAACTAGAAAAGATGATTAAAAAAGACAAACTTTTAGGTAAATTGAAACTATTAATTGTAGTTGTGATGTACTACGCCAATCTCTCTTACTTTAAAAAAAAAACTCGTCCTCGAGTTTGGTTAAAGAAAAGAAAGTCAA